TCGCTCGGCTCTCCAGCAACTTGTTTAGATCATCTTCTGTGAGAGGCTTCTTCCGACCCATGGAAGTGCAAGGCCGAAGTGACTGACGATGACATCTGACGATGACACCTGTACACCTAGAGATCCTCCAAACAGAACTACAGTTTTGTCATGGATTGTCTTGCCCAACCGCAACTGAACATGCAGAAGCCCTGCTTTTTTCTCTGGTGACTGCTTAAAAAGAATGAGTCCAACAAACAACATTGAGCAAAGCACAGCTCAGAGCAGCGGCACGCGCAATCTGGGTGGGCATGTAGGTGAACATCCCAGTTTGTCAGGGGATTGGAAATCCTACACACATATATTAATTACTGTATATTCTATATAATATAGTAACCTTTGTCAAAACCATCGAACATCATAGAAATTGAGGCCTGCTCAATGTGTTCATTTCTTGTCCATCGTGGAACCTTGTTCAAAAATGCTTGGTGACCTGATCTGTTTTTATGCTACTGTAGCAGCGCAGTCCGAGCTGAAGCCAGCTTGCGAGTCCGGAGTGTGAGCTCGGAGATCTCCCTCCAGGAGTAGCCCAGCAAGAGCAAGAAGGCACCAAAGAGCACCTCAAATTCAGTGACCCAAGTGTGGGACTCTGGGCATCTTGCGTTCTACACATACTGTCTTATGCTTTCTAGAGATGTGTCTGTGGGATGTCGCCTTGGTCACTACAGTAGTTTTCGACATCTACAGTATGTATAATGTCTTAATCAGCAGTTGTTAGTAGGTGCCACTAATGTCAGTTTGTCTTCTAGAGTATTTGAAATGGCTTTAAATGTCTTTCTATAGTTTTGCAATGTTTTCTCATCTTCTATTGCGTATATAAGATGGTTTTGACATGCCCGAACCTTCACCGCAATGTTGCCGGCACTCCCACCAAGCTCTTGAAGCTCTACCGAGGCTTCTGTGCCGCGCTCGACCCTGGTGTAACAGGCATCCCGCAGGCGGCGCAGGTCACGGAAGGGAGCAATCCAGGGCGGGAGGAACGACTTCACATCGCAAAGCCCGGGCAGTTCCGGAAAGTAAGTTTCACACCAGGGGAAGGTCACTGGATGTCCATGGTGCAAAAAGCGGAAGAATGCGGCAGGTTCCATAGGGATCTCACCTGTCTTCACATACACTTCTATCAACAGTGTGTCTGTATAAGGTGGCCATTGCCCATTCCAGAGCCCTAAGGCTGCCAGCAGGACCAAAATTGTTGTGTCATGGGTTGCCCAGAGTGCCAAGGGCATTGAATTTCCTGCTTGCCGCAGAATGAAGTCTTCAAGTTCTACAAGAGCAGGGGCTGCCAGCAAGTGAAGGGCTTCAGGATCATGCATGTAATGCTCTTGGAATAGCAGCAGGGACACGCGTAAAGCCTCTGTGAAAAGGGAGCTCTCGGGTTCCAATTTCTCTGGCAGTTCCAACTGCTTTGAGCATTTGGCCACCAACAAGCAGTCATGGAAGCCTGCCTGGAAGTCAGTCCCTGCAGCGAGCCTCCATTGTTTGGCAAAAGCCTTGACTGAACCACCCAAAAGGCGAAAAGGAAACCAAACCAGAAATAGAAAGAATCTGTTCAGTTGATTGCAAGGGGCTGGAAAGCGTTTCTCGATCAGGGCTTGACTGGTCTTGTAGTGCCTCGCATGGCGTGCATGCCCTGCTCGAGGACAATGTTGATTCATGTCCCAGGGATCGCTAGACACCGGTCGGGAAAAGAGGCGTGCACCTCGGGAAGGGTACTAGTGCTGGTTGCCACTGGTTGCCCTTGCAATTGCACTTCAGAAATTCTGGCAGTGACGATTGATACTAGGCTGAATCTAGGTTTGGGATAGTTTGGGCTCTGTTGGCAAGCTCCTTCCAGGACTCCCCCTTCCCTTCCCGCTTTCTACAACACTGATACCGATACCATCAACAATTTTATGTCCTGCCAATCAGCAACTCGCTGGTTGAATGAGTCAACCAATGCAGCTCAAAGCGCCGGGAACATCGCCAAAGAGCTCACGATGCATCAGAAAGAGTGTGGCCTCTGTGCGTAGCTTCCCTGTGGAGTAGAGCCGTGTAGCGTTCCTTGCATGGTCAAAAACTGAAGCGACGCGTTAACATGCTACTGTATGTCTGAGTTTGGAGGTTCCCTGACGTGCAGCATATATATATATATAGATACATAAACATATTCATCTTCATAGATCCTCTACGTTGCGATCAACATATTGATGATGCCTCACTGTTGGACTTCCACAGACTGCGACGGTTTTTGCACTAAGGATTGAACATGTCATGAACAACATATAACAACATGGGAATGGGCACGTCTGGCCCCTGATCAATGAATGATTGCCAAGTGGCTAGAAAATGGCACCACGAGGATCTTGATATCCGAATTTGTCAACCATAACGGGATTGGTTGAGTTAGGATTGGCTTGGTGCTTGGCTTTACTTCTATGAATTTATGAAAATCCAAGCGTCATGCTTGGAGGCTCTGAAAAGCGGTGAAAATATTGCCTGCGAAGCTCTGTTGCAAGAGCCTTGGTCTGCGGAATGGCATCATCCAGAAGCACTCCCAGACCACACCCTTCGAGGCCCGAGGTGTAGCCAGAGCCAGGCAAATCCGCTTCCTGGTGAACTTGGGCTGTTCAAGTCTAATTAACTCAAAACCCCCTGTTCAAGATGAGGATGCTTAAGTCAATGAACCTCGGATATGATCACCTACCATATTTGAACATCTAACGTAAGTACAGGGTGGTAGGGGGGCTGTTCCACTTGGGGAGATGGAGAGCACACACTCAGGACAAAGGTATGCAAAGTCAAAGTTCAGAATCGACGCAACCTGCAACAGCCTGAAGACCTTCGCGAGGGAAGATAATGACAATGCTCACAAATGCAGGTACAGGAAGGTGATCAGCCTTCCCCTCCCATCCACGACCGTAGCTTCGTTGCACACAGTACCTGCATATAACATTTCAAAACACCAGCAACCTGTGACCCCAAGGTGTACACCCACACGCACACCTACCACACACAGGGAACTGCTATCGGTACAAACATGAATTCTTTGGTTGTGCACTTGGGTTTCTGTTGGTATCTTTATTGCCAGTATCTGTTGACCGAGCTGCCTAAAGGCCCATCTGTCATGGCTCTCCCTTGATTCCAATCTAAAGCAAGCTTCTCTCAGAGGAAATGCATCAAGAACCTCACGGACCAGCGCCTCTGGATCAGAGGGTGCCAAGCCCGTAAAGGAGACTAGGGTCTGTACTGAGCAGTTCTTGAAGGCCCGCCTTAGGAACGAAAACAGCATTTGGAAACAGCTAGTGACTAGCTAGTGACGCAGTGACGCTAAGCACTCATTTCTTAAAGCATTCAAAGTGTCCGCTCGCTAATCCAGTCGCTTAAAAAAGAATGAAAAACTAATCCGGGTGACAAAAACAAGAAGTAAAAACACAAGGCATCACCCGTGTAAACGTCTATTGTGAATGCACTCGAGGAGGCAAGCCGGTCGCTATGTGGTGTCAGCGGTGAAGCTGGGCTGCTTGAAAAATCATGCAACCAGTAATTAACAATGATCATATCTATAATTATAGCTAGAGATGCTGCATGATGTTGCTCTTGCAGGAATCACATGCAAACGTCCGAAGACCAAACTCAAAAGGCTTCCCCTTTGCCAGCACTGCTACTTGTGAGCAGTGGCCAGAGGCCCAGCGGATAGGCCAGCGTATGGACCCCACGAAATCAACCACGAAAGGCGCCCAGCAAGCACATTGATTGGATCACATGTCAAATGTCATCGTCTCGGAAAGCCTCAAAGGCCTCGAAATGCTATGCCCTACTTGACCCCTCTGAGCCGCACACCCATCTCATCATCTCATCCATCACAGAAAACCATCCGGTAGCAGAGCGTTTGTTTGGCAGGGCAATATTGCCAACACATATATGTAGAGTGCTGCTTGTCATGCTATTCTGCTCTCCTGTTGAGTGCTCAGTCGAGAACATAACAAGACTGAGATGGACAAGCCAGTCGTTAACACCGCTGGTCTCTTGAAGAGCGGCAATTTTGCACTGCTCATAGCTGTTATCATCATCCTGGTCTTCCGAGGCAAGTGCGGACACCTTCCCAGTCAAGCAAACCTTTGGAGGTTGGGAACAAAGAGAGAGGAGCAAGAGCTCTGGAACATCGTGAACCTGTTTGAACACAAATTGCCAAGCAGAACCGCCCTCTTAGCGTACCCACCGTCGTGGAGCTGCAACCCAAGGCGTCTGTGTTCTCGTGGTCGACTGTTAGGTGTCTTAAAGAAACTCAAATGCAACTGGGGCACCGCAGTGGCTTGAAACATGGCTTGTCAGATGACAAATCTCGAGCACCATGACGGAATACCAATTGCACCCCACGAAGCTGAAGATTTGATTCCTTCAGGGCAAGGAGCAATCTGTTCTGCGCATAATATTGCTTAGCATCGCTCGGCTATTCCTCTTGTGCACCCGAGTGCAACCTCATGTCAATAATATTTATATAATGGTTTGCTTCATGAAAAAAGGTGACGCGGTGTGTCCCCAAATGTGCCCAAGTCCCGCAGCAGGTGGACAGGCGGTGGCTCTGGGAAACCGGATCGCTGTGCGTCAGGAGCCTCTGCGCAGTAGCCTTCGAACGGCTGTTGCAGCGCTTCCTTAAAAGTGAGCTTCTCCACAGCCAGCGTCCTCATCCCCAGCAAAGTCACCGAAACAAAGAACTGCATGGCACCCACCATGTTGGAAAAAGGAGAGCCAAGAAGCCTACACAATTAGGTTGGAGGCCATCGCTCTTAGGTTGGAGGCCATCGCAATTAGGTCGGAAGCCATTGCTATTTGTCGTTGCTATTGGAGTCAAAGCCATTTGGTTGAGCCTTCCGGACTCTGATTCTAGCTGTTTGGTCACCGACTCACTGCTTGCAGTCGCTGCATATCAAACAACCACACCGGACGCAAGCATGTTACACCCACTTTGTATCCAAAGTCTTTGGGCATTTCTTGTCGGGAAGATCCGCTCTTTTCCGCGGGCGCATCTTGATTCACATCTGCTCACTCATCCCTTCTTGGAGACCTCCTGACAGTCAGATGTTTGTCATTCCAAACATTTCAATATATGTCAAGCATCTCGTTGATCTGATCTTGACCAAGGTCGCTGCGTGACGTTGCTAAATGCTTCTTCATGCCGAAGTCCTTCTTGCAGTGGCCCCGGACCGTGCACCTAGGGTCGGAGTTGACAATGTGCACTAAACTAGAATGGTGGTCCAACCTTATCATCCTTGCCTTATCAATCTTCGCAACGCTGGTACAAAAAAGTAAGGAACAAATTGGGGCACCGAGGATGACCACCGCCTTGCCTTTTCAGCTCTGAACCATCACCCAAGCATTCAAGCAATTTTGATGACAAATGATGTGGTATGGTCAGTTGGAGTCCTCTCCCCAGTGTCAAAGGGTTTCTGTCAAATGTCAGGAATTGCTTGTGTTGCACGCCGACATACTCCGACACCGACTCTGAATTGTCTGTAACGGATCACTCCCGCCTTCCGCTGACCGGTCAGGAAGCCTGCAACTCCAAGCGCTTGTGCAGGTTGCCGAAGCCTAGCGACAGCCCGAGTAGTCTTTCGGATGTGGTTTACATTCCATGAATTCACTTCCACAATGAATGACACATGAATCTAACGCATAGCATGTTCATGGAAGACCGGCCCGAAGTCAGATCACACCTTGTCACGCCTCCAGGAATCAGCTCGTGGCCTCCAGATTCACAAGAGGGAAGAACTGGAAGAACTGACCACTCATATCCCAAGCGCATACAGGTGCAAATGTCACCTTGTCATACCTTATCCGTATCCTTTTGGTCTTGTTTTGTCTGTTTCCGCTTTCGTTCCTCCATGGGCATGCCATCTTTGCCTGACTTGCCCACTTCGGACAGCATGCCCTTATGCCAAAGATCTCCTTCTCCTCTGCGGAATTCAGAGAGCAAACCCTATTCCAGTTGAACAGCATGCCTTTGGACAAGTTAGGATGGCCAGAGGGCAAATGGGTCACAATGTGGAGCATTGAAGCTGGCTTGTTGGATGTTGGTGTTCAAGACCGACATTGAGGTGTCAGTGTCAAATGGTGTCACGTCACTCACCCGAGGGGGATGTTCCTTTCGCATTAGACTTCATCTGTGACACCCACTGGGGCACAGCGGCGCGACGTTGTTAGGGTATGTTAGGGTTAGGTACTTTGGGGAATCGGCAATCTGCCATTCTCGGTGGTTTGAGTGTGTGTGTGTGCTCTGTGTTGTTCTTCATGAATCCTGAAGCTTATACCGTTAAGATCCATTAAGTTCAAGTGTCAATCGTTCATTGCTCTGGTGATCTTCTCATTCTGGCCTGGACTGCACCTTTCAGCACTCTGGTGATCTTCTTGGGTTCGGTTATTGGCCTGTGTGGGATGACAAGCTGCAGTATGGACGGCCTGAACCTGACAAGCTGTAGTGAAAAAGCTGCATGTCTACAAAAGCAAGTGTGGCTAAAAACTGCTTCCCTCCTCGTTCATAAGAGTCTTCGCCCCGGATAGGCAACGGTCCGTCTTGAAACGCTCTCGTGGGTCAAAGCAGTCCAGCTCCTAACGTAAAGGATCGGCGAAAGAGGAAACAAAGAAGAATTACATAAACACTCTGGAAGACTCAATACCTGAAAAACGACAAACCAAGATTCCGACTGTTAGACATCCGTTCTGCCCACCAGCCTGTTCTGTATTTCTTTCTGTGTCTCTATATTATATACCCTCTCCCTCCCTCCCTCCCTGCCTCCCTGCCTCCTTCCCCGTGTTGCAGCCCTTTCTGCTCTGCCTCCCTTGCCTCCCTCGAATAGGACTACCACCTCGCACTGTCCAACCCATTTGATGCCAAAAAACTGGCTTGCGGAGCGGTCGCTCAGCCAGCTGGTTCAGCAAAGCGGTGAATGCATCCTGAGATCTGTGAGAATTGGCCGCTTGGTACCATTTGGCCTGCTGCAAATAATGTGGCAGTGGGCTGAGACCCCCATTCAAGCCAAGGTTCCCCAATTGTCCAAACATAGTAACTAACATATTGTAACATAGTAATTAATGCACATTAATCTTTGCAATTACGCCATAATTACGCTACATAAGATTCACCAAACTTCACGATGTGCTTTACCGATTCGCACATAAGCTCGCAGCCGGCTGGGTCCCTGCAAAATCATAGCGGAGGAAAGGTACCTGGTTCCGAGATGGCAGGAGCCCAAACTGGCCTGCTGTCTATTGTTGGCCTCCTAAGAGATGGCCTCCAACCTACGAGTAATAGCGATGGCCTCCAACCTACAAAAGTCTGAGAATCTTTCCAGTTTATCGCTCCTTTTGACAAGTGTGCATTGAAAACTGTAACTGTATCTCTCTCTGACAAACATATTTGGCTCACGCAAGTAGGACATGCGACTTCTTATGAGCTTCTGGGCATTGCGAATCCTACCTCTCCAACTTGCCTGTCTCAAATTCACCAACAAATGAATCGGCGAGGCACAGCTTTTGACAAGATCTCTTGCTTCTGGTGAATCTCTCCCACCTGAAGCCTTAAGCCCACCACAGGAGAAGCAAAGTGGATTCATCAGTTCATCCTAATAGCAATGGCCTCTAACCCAATAGTGTTCCTCTAGGTACAACCTATCTGGAAAAGCAACGTGCGATCCTCAGATGCAGTGTTTCAAATGCGCAACCCCTGCCTCAGCAATGTCGGGACTAACCGCTTGGCCCAAGTGTCCAAGTCCTTCGGAGCGTCCGATGACAAGGTGAAACATCATCCGTGGGTGAATCATCTTGAGGTCCAGAGGGTGAATCGTCATGTCTGGATGTGTACAGTATATGTTTGGGCTAGGATCTTGCAATTGCGCAAGCATCCTACCTGAAAACTGGCCAAAGAAATGGCATGGCGGGCACTAGCATGACTCACTGTTGGTCCAGTCAGAATCAGGAAGACGGTTGGAACTTGGAACATCTTGGAACCTCTTTGTACGTGCAAACCAAACTAAATGGTAGCATAAACCGCTGCTACAACTACATGTAGTCGGAGGATGTTTGAAAGGCGAAGGCAAATGCACTTTGAAATTAAAACTGCATTCCCAGCCGAGAATTGTCGAGTCCAGCGGCCTTGGGTAGAAGAGAACAAGTGGAATGGGCCCAAGTACATCCAAGTACCATTTCCACCTCAGTCTCTGCACAAGTCACCTCCCTGGCAGGATCGTAGGGCAGCTCGATACTGAAGCCTCGCCAGTCCACTTGGCCTTGGCTGAAAACCGTGATCAAAGATGATGACAATTGTTCATATTGTCCAAAAGGCCTTCAACACCTGGACCTGTTTACCTTCTGAAGAATCCGGCTCGGATAAGACCCTGGGTAGCAGTCTTGAACCACGCGACTGGGAAAAGGCAAACTCCATTCAACTGGCGGCCCGTGGTTCCGGTACCTCTGGCACAAGACATTCAATCCACTTCAAGCACACTTACGATCGGAATGTGCATCCACAGCGGTCAGCTATCACAGCAAATAAATGACAGATGCAAGCCTAGCTTGATGGACACCTAAGGCATCCAAAGGAAGGCGGAGGCCAAACTGATCCAAGCACTTCCAAACACGCCATTTACTTTGTCGGAACCGCCCTCCCCCAGGTGGCTCACCAGCTGCCGCCTGGGAACAGCATCACCACCGGAAGGCATCCAGCTAAGACCTTGAACAAAACTCATTGAAACTCCTTGAGGACGAACAACTACTCTACAACAAATCCACTCAATTCTTGTGACGCTTCTCAGTCAGTTGGTGCAAATTGAGTGTATATAGGTCTGCTTAAGCAATAAGTTCTCCTCCGAGAGAAGACATTGGAGGACCGCCAGGTCTTTTCTCACAAGGACATTTTCCCTCCAAGCTCCAAGTTGAGGTGCGTACGGCATGGAAGAGACGCATACGAAAAGTGTTGTCCTGCCAGCGGCTCATTATTCATCAACTTGAAAGCACATTTGAGCAGCTTCGAAAACCCCTATTACTTTTTTGTATAATCCAGGTTTGCTTTCGCAAAGCTTTCGCGGAGCTTTCGCGGCCTGCATTCTGGCTTTCGCGGAAGGTGTGGTGTTATGTGGGGCTTTCGCGGCGGCTTTCGCGGCGATTCGTTTTCGATTGGGAAATTCGATTGGGATATTGATCTATATAAGTTATCCGATATAAGTGTCCTTAGGGTGGTCAAAACTGAACAAATTTCTTTCCGGCAACATCCTGGCACAAGGAGTTGTAGCAGCACCGTTCAAGTATTATTGTTGTCATCAGAAGAGGAGGAAAACTTGCTGAAACTTTTTGCTGGGGCCAGATACCTTTCCCGGATATTTTCGACTTTCGCGGTTCTTTCGCGAGGCTTTCGCGCGGGTTTCGCGGAAATTCGTCTGGGCTTTTCGATTTTCCCCTGAAACACTTGCTCTTCAGCGCTGCTGCTGCTGCTGGCTGGTGTGCTGCGGCTGGCTGGCTGGCTGGCTGGCCTGCTGCGGCTGCCTGCATAAAAATATGGTCACCCACATAAACAACACGACATGCACAAGAAATTCGACTTTCGCGAAAGCTTTCGCGACGCTGTTCTTCTGGGGTTCTTTCGCGGGGCTTTCGCGAACCTTTCGCGACCTGCGTTTTGGCTTTCGCGAAAGAATGTGAGATTACAGTTTGCACACTTTCCATCATAGAGGTTTTTGAAGCTGCTCATTTGCTTCGGGGATCTTTATGTTATACTTAACTTTCAAGTATTTAATGCAACGCCAACTCACAATAAGGTTATGCATTCTCCCATTAGTGTACAGTATGTTTGATACATTATGATATTATGGCTTGTCCAATCCTGTAGACGAAAAACAAAAACAGTACCACTTTTGAGCGAATTACGACCAGCAACTCAGACCTTGTGGGAGCGACCCGCAAGCGACCCGCGAGCGCCACGAATTTCAGGGCTCCAAGACCTGCAAAAGATCTTTGGATCCTCTGGGTGGCCCTGCACCAGGTAGTACTGGACAAAAAAGTGCCCGCCGAATCCTTGGATGAATCGGATGAGACGCTCGACTTAGCACTCTGTGCACCAATCATTTATTTGCTGTACTGCATGAATTCATCCTGTCATGGCAGATGTAAACATGCCTTAGTCCCTGTAACTGTACCAACCAAAAGGAGTGTCTTTGATATGCTAGCCTTTGATTCGTCAATGCGCTTGCCGGCGAACAATTATGGCATCCACGCTCCTCAGCCAAACACGGAAACAAAGAACAAGTCTACGTGCACTTGAAGATTGCCCTTAATTAGCCCTTAATTAAAGAGCTGCCTGCTTATGCCTGAGCTCTGTCGTGCGAAAGCACCGGCCTGAAGCATTGACCCTAAAAGCAAGCTGCACCCGGAGAGATATACCAGCTGCTGCTGGTGCTTGTACAAACACAGCGAAGTGCGTTGTGCGGTAACGAAGAAGCACCGTCGTCACGATTTGTTGTGTCTCTAGGTCTTCGAAGTTTTGGGACACCTGCTTCAGATTCAGGAACCATCAAGTGCCCACAGTACACAGACGCAAAGGAGGGAAAGTAGTCAAATGAGTCAAATATATAACTCAATATAACTCAAAGAACAGATAAGAACAGTAAGAATCCTTTGTCCTGCACGCCAAGCATGCATTCAGTCCAACCAGGTCTTGTGTTCATCATCCCTGTGCGCAAACATACAATTCAACAATTGTGCAAAAAGGAATGCCCCTCAGACCCGGACTGGTGATTCCACTCTGGTGCCAAAGGGGTATTGCAGCACGTGGCGCAAGCTGGGGAAGAGTTTCCTGCACTAGAGAAAGGTTAAATGCAGGATCACAACACTCAAGCATCCAGCTGCTTGGAGGCATTTCATTGCTTGTACCTTGTCCATCCAGGTCATACTCAAATAATACTTACTCATATAATACATACTAATATATATATATATCCCAAGTATCCCCAAGTATCGTACCTGAATAAGCGCCGCAACACCCACCTCTTGCTTGCAGAAGATTTTGGGCAACTGTTCAAGTTGCGCCTTTGTTCTCTGTGTGCCAATCATCGCGCAAAACGGTAAAACGGTAAAACTCAATAATATCCTAGCAACCAAAACCTATGGTTTTCCTCAGTGTTCCACTCTCCCTCCCACGCTGTCTGTTCCTTGCTGGTCACGCTTGGACACCACGAAGAGATGCGGCAGCGAGTGCTGGCACGATGGAATTTCCCACTGCAAACCAATAAGTGCTGTTCATGTGCAAAACTGCATGCACACATATGCACACGCACTGTCCGCACAGGCCTCAGCTTCGTCTTGCACTGGTACTCAAGTTTGCTTGCATGGCTCTTAGATTCATGCGGGTCAACGCTATGCCCAACCCTTTCCTTTTCCGGTGAAACTGCTGGTTAGGTTTGCTTTGGTGATTGTTCTGCGTTTGCTGTGTTGTCTTGTCTCTTTCATGTGTTGTTAGTTAAATCTCTGAATTTCTGGCTTGTTTCTATATATCTCAACGTGAACGACGCCTTGACTAGCTGGGTGGGAAAGGGGTCCTTCAATAGCGCAAGAAATCGCATTGAACCTGTAAGCGCTCGGCGCCTGCCAGCGCAGCAGCTCCTCCAGCACTTCCCGGCGAAATGGGCGTTGCCCAACTCCGTCTGCAGTGAATAACAGCAGGTCCTGCGCTAGAACAGCTGCACTAAACTTGAGTAAGGACCTCATCAGGACTTCTGTACCCATGAAAACTGAAGGGTTGGTAGCGTCCTCTGAAGTTCACTGATCATCCCCAGAGTAGTGGAGTTGGATCATTAGATGTTTTGGTTTCACTCGAACGAAAATACTTTGACCTATGCCTCGCAAAATGTTCTAAACAGAAGGGCACGAAGTTCTTTTGTTAGTGTTTGTTACAGTATGTGGTCCTATTGTTTTTTCATGCACTGCGATTGGGTTTCCCTTTGCCCACTCCCGCCTTCGAGCTGAACTCCCAGCGACCTGGCGCCTGCTAGGGAGGACTCTGGATGGTTGCCGTTCATTTGTGGATTCAATTCAGTCCAATGGTTAGTCCAATATATCAGTGTATCCAATCAGTCGGTAGGACGGACTTTTGAACCAGCTCAAGAGCGCTCTGCGATCGTGAAAAGGTGTCATGACAAAAAGTGACTTCAGTGAAGGGTTTTCAAACTCCACTGGCGTTTCGGATCCTGGAGCAGTCTTTGCAGTACCGCTTTGACATCACATTATGATGTCTCAAGTGTCCGCATTGCGGATTCACATGAAAGCATTCACCAGTAGCGGTGAAGTACACACGCTCATAGCCAGGGCCAGAGCTAGATGCGCTCTCAGTCGGCGGCGCAGGCGGCGGCTGCTTGAACACGGTCGTGCCTGATGCAGACCAGTCGATGATCGGGCTGCCAGGTGCAGGCATCTTTGGAACAGCAGCGGAAGGCGCAGGAATAGAGCTCGGCTTTGGTCGTGCCGTAGAGGAAGTCGATGAAGATCCATCTAAATTCAGGGTCCTTGGTGTTCCAGCTGGACAGTTCGGCGGAGTAGATGGTGGACTGGCAATTTTCTTTCGAGGCAGAAGGCTTTGAATGCCTGACGTCACAAGGAACTCGCCAAAACGAAGGGCCATGTAGGTGACGAAGATCATGATCATGAAGGTCCAGTCGTTGGCGCTTTCATTTGGCCTCGGTGGTTCATTTTGGCCTTGTGCAGACGCGGTGGTCATCATCAATGATGTCATTGCCAGGGTGGCAATCCATGGCTTCAGTTTGAAGCTTGTCAGGCAGGCCAATTTTGCCATCTTGGATCCTTGATGTACTTCTTTTGCAATCTGGTCATCGCTCTTCCACAAATCTTCTTCTCGAAGGTCTTCAAGTGTAGGAAGGCGGCGAAGCAACACCACATGTTTGGGCTCGTTCTTCATGAAGAGGTGTCCTGAGCTCAAAAACTCCATCATCTGTGGTGCTATCATTGGCTTGGTCAATGCATCAGCCAGCATGCTCTGAGTTGGAATGAGCATGAAATAGCGAAGGCGACCAGTGACTCGTGCCTCCTTGATGGCGGCGATGTATAGCCTCTGCAACTTGTCCTGAGGCACAGCACGAGATCCGGTGCTCAGCTCATAGAAGTCTCTGCAGTCTGTGGCGGAGTCCACTGGAAACAAACGTGAGCCTTCTTCTTGGTGCTGAGTGAGGTCCTTCAAGGTCGGCTTGGCTTTGTCCATCCAAAGTTCAGTCAGTCGAGTACTGACCATGCTGCTCGCTTCCAAGCCGTTCACTGCCGACAATGTCTCGGCATGTGAGGTTGAGTATGACACTCTCTTAGCTTTTCCTCCATGAGCGAAAAAGAGGTGCCCATAGCCGTTCAGCTGTGATGTAGTTGCATCATCACACGTGATCTCGTCCTGGTTGAGGATGTGCTGAGGCAGTTCGGGCATGAGCAGGACCATGACTCCCTCTTGAGCATAGGAGCGTCCTTTGCTTGGAGAGGATGCATCATGTATGCACTGAAGGCGGAAGCTGGATGCTCCATGGAAGTGGCGAAAGTGCAGGCCCAATTGAACACGGTCGGGACTGCTTGCCTTCTTGACCAGAAGATTTGCAGCTCGAAGGCGCTTCACCTTAGGAGCAGATACTGCTGATTGTAGTACTCCCACGTCGGCCACCAGGTCCAATCGTGTTGAACACAGCCAGAGCAAACCTCCAACAACTGAGCGCAAGTCGGTGACTTCAGATGCGGTCAGTGCTCTCTCATCATCTCCAGGAGGATTCGTGGATGGCTTTAGCTTCGTGGCGAATTCAGTCTGATCGATCTTGTAGCCGTTCTTAGTCTTGGAGTACAGACAGCCGCAGTGAGGAAATGGCAACTTTTCTTTGGAGATTTTGCCAAACTTCTTGCACATTGTCTTGTAGAGGTCGTCCATGAAGTTGCCACCACCAACGACTGCAAGGTCATCAACGTGAGTGGTGAGAGCTGCACGCAGTGTTGGACTCTTCTTGGGATCCTTCCAGAAGTAGAAACTGTCGTCCAACAAAGAAGCTTGACCGTGCTGCTCTTTCAGAAACACTCCCAAACTCAATTGCCAGGCCACTGGTGCGTCATTCAGGCCGTACACGGGCTTGAGGCATTGTAGTCCATAAAGTGGAATCTCATCAGGTTCCAGGTGGAACTGAGGATCAACAGCAGCCAGGTGTCGCCAACAGTTGTATGGCGGGATCAACACCACAGATCGTGTGGGTGTCTTGATGCCTTGGGAGAGCAGGATCTCGCGGATCTTGTCAAAGGAGAGTCCTTTGAGGAAAGCACCAGAAACATCCCATGATTCAGGATCCACTTGCATCAAAGCTGCGGTGCTCATCAAAATCCGTTGACTCAAGCGAGATGCCGTAGTGCTCCTCGTGCTCAAGTGTTCCTTTTGAGGGTCGAAACAACCTCTGGCGCACATTCGAGACTTCACAATTCGCCTGCCAAGCTTCATCTTCCATCGTCTGACCCAGGTGCCATCGATGATCACGGTGCCATCAGCAACGTCAGAAAGCTTGATCTTGGCGAAGGCTTTCTCCTCCACGAATTGCGCCATCTCCTTTCCATCAGCCTCTTCGACCAATGGCCAAATCTCTGCCAGATCGGTCTCTGAGATCGTGTCCTCTGCGGTGACAGACATGTAGCGGCCACCATTGGACAAGTCAAGGTAAAAGTGGCGCTTCTTCGAACTGGCCAGGTGGACCAAGTAGGTACCTCTCTCCTTGGCCTTTTCGTGGAGCATTTGGCTCTTCTGTGTGACCATCTCTCTGGTGATCTTGTTGAACCATCGAGGCACATAGTAGGTCTCTGACCAGAAAGCTTCATTACGCAGGCGGAAGAATCTTTTGCGGTCAATCATCCACTGCAGAGTGTGGAGGTTCTGCAGCTCCGTGGTGATGTTGTGTGCGACATCGAACTTGGCCTTCTTGGGATCAGGATCTGGTAGCGGAGGATCAGTGGTAGCTGAGCCACGCTTCATGGGCAGTTCACAGTCGATGTCTCTCTCTGTCTCCACGGGAGCTTGTGGTGCATGAGGTGGTGCTTGAGCAGGAGCTGATTGCACTTCGTCTCCATGAGGTGCTTCTGCAGGCGCCATCTCAGTGCTGGTCGGATAGTAGAAGATGTACATGACGCAAAGAGATTCCCAGCGCTGGCCATACTCATCCTTGAGCTTCATTGAGTTGTCATCCTCCTTGTGGATCTTGATGTAGTCAGAGGTGCCCTTCAACCATGTCAAGATGGTTCCACGAGTGTGTGGTAGTGGATGAAGTGTATGGCATGCTTGTCCATATAGAACTCCGTGGACGGGATGCTGAGCCCATTCTTCCCATTGTCCAAATGCTGACAGAATCTTCTGTTGTGCTTCCGTAGGAGTCGAAGGAATGTTCTTCCAATGTGCTCCGTCGTGGCGCAGGATCAGCTTGTAGCCGAGGAAGTGCTGCTTATAGGGCTGAGCTGCTTCAATCATGGCCATCATCTGATGCAAGGTAGTGCCAGCTGTGGTGTCCATGTTGAAGAACACACCACGAAAAGGGCGGACGAATCTCAAAGGAAGCAGATATGGCTTTCCTTGATGTCGAACGATTGCGGTGCCTTCATTTTCATTGACTTCCAACAGCACTGCAGGGCCTCGCCAACTTTCTCCTCGGTGAATTTCCACCATGGATGTGCCAGGAGTCAGCTCGGAGGTGTCCACCTTCTGAGGTCGGCTGTGAGAGGCTCGTGCAACTCTATCTTCGGCGATGGCCTGCTGAACTGCGGCCAGAGAAACTTGACGCAATCTCATTGCAGACTCGAAGATGTAGGGATCACGTTCTCGAGCTCCATCAACAGCAGTCAAAGTGGTGGACTCAAACTCATAGAATGAGCGAGGAAGAACTCCAAACACTGCCATGCAGGGCGTATATCCACCGTAGGTCATGAGGAGATTCTGACACATTGCGGACTCAGCAGCAATGTCCGCATCTTCCATGGTGAGTCCTTGCCTATCGAGCTCTGCCTTGACCTTCTCCATGGTGAGCTTGATCAAACCGATGTGTCGTTCTGCCAGACCTGTGCCAGTGTGTTGCTTGGCAGCTTCTCCTTGAGTGGTGCCTTTGGGATTGCGACAAATGGCCAGGCGTTCAAACTCAATGGCGGCAGCAGGACCCATCAACGAAGTCTCTTGATCTGAGGTGAGCATGCGCATTGGTCCAAAATACCTGATCCAGTGAGTAAGCATGCCTCGAAGAAGATCATCAAGAGATCGAGTTGGGGTCTCAAAAGCTACCTTGTAGCGTGTGGCCACGTCGATCAAAAGAACAAAAGCCTTGCCCCAAAGGAAGAAGATGTCCATCTCAACTTCATCATTAAACTGAGCTGCCAGAGTAGCCTTGCTCTTTGGCTTGCTTGGAAGCCTTGAGTATCGGCGGCACACGGCACAGGAAGCAACAGCCTCTCCAATCAAATCCAACACGGCTTGCGGCATGCCTGCTCGTTGAAGTAGACTGGTGAAGTCAGCAGCTGTTGCATGCCACATCTTCTCGTGTAGTCCAAGTAGGAGTCGTTTGGCCTGAGTCGGATCGCTTGCAGCTATCGAAGGAAGCTTCTGCAGAACTCGTCGTACACTATAGAGAGGTTTGATAGCTCGAGCATTGGCAGCTTCAGCTGAAATTCCTTCATATGGAGCCACCTGTAGTGGTGCATCATCCACAGGAACCAAAGCTTGAGAAGTCTCCTCAGCAGGTGGCATCGGAGTTGCAGGTACAGGCACCAAAGGCGCAGGTGTACCGGGCATTGGAGTGCCAGGAGCTGGAGTGACTGGAGCAGGTGTGGCTGGAGATGACCTTCTTGTCGAAGTGGGTTCCCGAACATCGCCAAAGAAAGTAATCATCCAGTCAGGCTCCTCAATGGCTTCTCTCTGCTGAGCTGGTGACATTTCACGAAGATCTTCAAGTGGATGAACTGTCCAGGACTTGTAGGTGCCTCGACAGATCAGTCGCAGTGGACAAAGTTCAGCTCGCAGTTTTGGTTCCGGAAATGCCTTGGCAAAAGGATGCAGGATGATGTACACTCCGTGGACATAGAGAATCTTGCGAAGGCATGAGCGCACAATCGTCATCAGGATGGGATCTTCAATCCATCGGGAGTAGTTGCCGTCGGTGACTTCGTCGAAGATGGTCATGGAGTCGTTCACCAATTGACACAGCAAGCCTTTCAGGTAGAGCTTGTCTTCAGCGGTGAACTCCATAGAGTCAGGAACTTGTATCTCAACCTGACTCATGCCTCCATGTGCTCGAATGCCTCGTTGAAAGTCAGCTGTGGGACTTGAGGCGGCCGAAGGAGCTGCCGAAGGTTCCTTGAACAGGCGACCATGGCGACATTCTCCCGGAATGAAGGAATGCTCCATATCAGCTGTGGCAGCTCTGCCAAACTTGCAACGCTCGCACTTGTAGAGGACTTGGTGATAGGTCCATGAGTCGACCAAGCGCATGTGCAGAGTGTTGCGCTTCTGAAACCATTGAATGATGTCCTGGATGAGGGCCTTACAGAAGCGAGTCGGGTAGACAGCTGCCATAGCAGTGCGATTCTTGCCTTGATGTTGACCTTGTAGAGGTGCATGGGGCATTCCATTGTGTCCATTACATCGACGAAGGCTGAGGCGTAGTTTGAAGTTCGCCTCAATGCCGGTGGCTTTCAGCACTGGCTTCCGAAGCTCATCAACTGCTCCGAATGCACATTGATCTGTGCGGCGATGTTTTCGCCAGCCAGGGAACTTCTTGTTCTCTGCCATCACACTCTCTTCCCACATAGCTGAAGACAATGGCTGTTCCAGGAGGTAGCCTCGAGACTTCTTCACCTGTTCAGCATACAGGCGTTGAAGGAACACTAAAGCCGATCTGTCCTTCTCTCGATCTTGTAGAAGTTGATGTCGATCTCGTCTCGATGCGGCTATGCTCCAGAACTTGCAGCGAGGAGAGCCAAAGATCACTTCCGGCTCGAAGGTGGTGTAGGCGCTCCAAAGCATGTCTTGATGTGTTGGATTGCCAATGTCCCAGCCATAGCGGAAGTCGACAGGAAAACCAGTCATCAGACCAGCCAATGTGCACAGGAGAGAAAATCTTCCAGAGCCGGAGAAGAGCTCCCAAATCTGCCACTTGACTCCATGTCGCTTGGCTTCCTTGAACCATGCAGGAAAGGTGTCTGGCGTCACGACTCTGCGATTGGAGTGGCGATAGAATTCCTCTGGCATGGCCTTGTAGTCTTTCTTGAGCTTCTGCTGATCTTCTTGTGAGAGGTGAGGTGGAACAGAGTCATCAACGTACAGTGGAAGCTCACTCAGATTTGTGGCCATCAGCTGAGATGTCACAACACTATCTTTCTTCTCTTGGTAGTCCTTGTCTGCAGCCTCAACTCCTCCAGGTGTTGTGGAACATGAGGTGGCTGTTGCGGAACATGATGTGACCTGTTCAGGTGTCGTGGAACTTGGAGTGTTGTGACTCTGGCAACATTCACACTTATGCTCCTTATGAGCGTCATCACATTGGTAGAGATTGTCTGCAGCCTCAACTCCTCCAGTGGAAGTGATATCTGAGGTGGATGATGTGATAGGTAATGTTGATGTGTCGTGGTCCTTGATCGGTGACGTGGAACATGAGGTATCCATGTCGTGGTTCTTGTTCTGCTCACTCATGAGACTAGTCAGCGGGTGATCATCTTGAAGGGATCGAACTTGTGTCCCATGAGTGCTCCACTGACGTTCCGGTCCTTGGGCAGTCACGTTCTGCCAGAAGGTGTATGCATGATCTGGCCATGCACGATGGGAGACGTCAGAGAGGTGCTTGATGAAGTGAAAGGCTTCAGGTTGCTGATCGCAGATACCAGCATCTTCATCCAAAGGCAGCAGGTAGTGACCACTGTCAGTGAGAAGAACTCGGAAGAGGTTCATCTGCGGATGCTCGCTCTTGGAAGTGTCCCAGGCAACCAGAAGTCCATCATCGTTGGTGAACCATCGTGAATGCAGAGAGGCGTACATCGCACATAGAGCAGGGTTGCCAACCAGAGCGGGGCAGCGGCTGCCTTCTTTGCCAATGACATCGGCGGTGTAGGTGGCTTCCATGTTCTTGAAAGGCAGCTTCAGATGAACTCGTCCAAGAGCTTTGTCTGGCTGACCTGAGATGCCGGTGATAGTGGCATCTGATGCAGACCATGTCACTGCCTTCTGCTTGTCCTGGTAGCAGCTGGCTAGGAGGTCACGAAGGGTCTCGCTGCCAACCAAACCTGCGGCAGCACCAGGGTCAATCAGCAAGCCACGGCGTTTGACGCCCTTCACCATGTGGTAGACCTCAGAGCTCGCATGAAGATGGGTGGCAAAAGCAAGTTGCTTGTCAGCAAAGGTCACTTTCTTCTCTTGCCAAGGAAGCAACTCTCCAGTCCTCGGTGGTGTCATATGGATGGGCTTCACCTCAGTGGTAAAAGACGATGAAGCTGGAGGACTCAGAGAAAGTCCTTGTTCAGGTTGACCTCGTTGGGCACTGTAGTCGATGTCGTTAAAGTAGCCCTTGTTGCCACCTTTGAACTTGCCTTTGCCCTTGAATGACTTGCTTTTGCCCTTGCCCTTCTTTCCTTTGCTCTTGCCTTTGCCTTTTGGCCTCCAGGAGGATTTTCCTCCTCCATAGCCGCCTTTTCCTTTGTCTCTGACGGGACACTGTGCGGCCAGGTGCCATCGACTGCCACAGACATGACAGCCACTCTTCTGCTGGTAGTAGTCCTCGTCCTCATAGTAGGTCTCAGGGGCTTCAGCAGCTTGCTCTGTCTCATGTTGGTCGTCATGGATGACATACTCCTCAGGGGTGTGCCATTCTGATGCCGTAGGCGACCAGGAATCGTCTTCTTGCCACCATTCATCCTCTGCATAGCCAGTCCAGGGATCTTCTGGATCTGCTTGCCAAGGATCATCTTGCCATGACCAATCGTCATAGTAGGTGTCGTAGTCCATGGTGTTCCATGACGAGGATGGAGTGGAGAAGAACTCAGAAGCCTGATCGGTGTACAGGTCCTGGGACAAAGCATGCTGGTCACTCCGATTGCTCAGGCGCAAGGTCAGGCGCTTGGCTTCCTCAAAACGAGACATGTCGCCTTGGATCTGGATCTTGACATCCTCAATGAACTTGTTGGGCAATCCAGAACTTTGGAAAAATAGGAAGCTCTTGGCGACGTCGTTGATCTCCAAGCCTGAGTGGCGCTGAGCAGACTCATAGCGAAGCTCCCATTCTGATGCATATTCGTGCATCGAAAGCTTACCCCGTTTGAAGAGGAAGAATTGCTCCAAACTGTGGGTGGCCAACTCCTGGTCAGACTGACCGAAGGTCTCACGGAGGGCGTTCGCGAGAGCTTGAACTCCACTTGGGATTGCATGCTGCAAGATGACATTCGGGTCCATGGGGTCTCGAACCTCGTCCGTGGACAGCCGAACAAGAGCACTGTCTCCCACATCGTAGGTTCCGTCAGGGCGAACCAGTTTGAGACCCATGGCAATCTTTTGGGCTCTTCCTTGAAGGCGTCCCGCAAGTAGAGGACCTACTTGTTCGTCAGGGCCTTGGTAGAGCCTATACCAGAGGCGAAGTTTGTCAAAATAAGACTTCAAGCTGTAGTCTGGAAGGTTCGGAGCCCAACCAGGTGGTACGTCGCGACGAAACTCAGCCAAAGGTATGCCAAGGAGCGGCTGGGCCATCGTGAACAGATCACGGGCAAAGTCCCGGTACGTGAAGGTGTCCTGAATCGGGTAGTCCTGCAAATTCAGGGAGATGTCAATGGTCAGCGTCTGATTCAGGAAGATGGAGTGCAGGTCAATCACCTCCAGGGTCGTGTACTCGGGAGCTTTCACGGGCGCAAAATTGGCTGCTTTCACAGGTGCCCTCGGAGCCGAAGAACAAATGCACAGGACCAAAATGGCCAAATTTGTGAGACAGCAAAAAAGGATCGTCGTCGTGGCGGCGACGAGAGCGAAGCAGCGCGGGCAGCGCAGCGGGCCCGGGATCGCGCCGGGCGGCGCCGAAGGCGCCAGGCGGCCAATGGCGAACGCAGGAGCCCCGGACGGCCGGGGCTCCGCTACCAAAGTCGGTAGGACGGACTTTTGAACCAGCTCAAGAGCGCTCTGCGATCGTGAAAAGGTGTCATGACAAAAAGTGACTTCAGTGAAGGGTTTTCAAACTCAATCATTGGACTGGTAAATCACGTCAAATGCAAAAGCCGTTGGCTGATGAAAGGCTATCAACAACACGGTGAAATGGGTGTCCGCTTAAGACTACTACTTGACGCTGTTGAAGGCTTCAGCCAAATTCCACGAACCTGTGACCCACTCTTACCTGAACTTGTCTTGACCAGGCTCCGGGTCAAAGACTAGAATCTGTCACTACGTTATCGATTTGGTTCCGTCCCAAGCCAACCATTCAGACAGCCGACTGGAAGGTCATCTGCTAGGGGCGGCGGGGTGATCAATGGCCCTTGCCTCAGTTACGAGCCTAAAGCTTCTTGTTCCTAGTAGTAAGGCCAGGAGGGCCCCAAGTAGCGTCCTTGCTCCTAGTAGCGATGCCCTTTGTTACTAATTAGTAACTAGTAGCTTCTTGCTCCTAGTAGTAAGGCCAGGAGCGCCGCAAGTAGCGTCCTTGCTCCTAGTAGCGATGCCCTTTGTTACTATATAGTAACTTCTTGTTCCTAGTAGTGAGGCCAGGAGCGCCCCAAGTAGCGTCCTTGCTCTTAGTAGCGATGCCCTTTGTTACTAGTAGTTTCTTGTTCCTAGTAGTAAGGCCAGGAACCCTAGTAGCGTCCTTGCTCCTAGCAGCGATGCCCTTTGTTGGAGCGCCCCAAGTAGTGTCCTTGCTCCTAGTAGCAATGCTCTTTGTTACTACTAGCTTCTTGTTTCTAGTAGTAAGGCCAGAAGTGCCCCTAGTAGCGTCCTTGCTCCTAGTAGCGATACCCTTTGTTACTAATTAGTAGCTTCGTGTTCCTAGTAGTGAGGCCAGGAGCGCTTCTAGTAGCGTCCTTGCTCCTAGTGGCGATGCCCTTTGTTACTAGTAGTAGTAAGGCCAGGAGCGCCCCAAGTAGTGTCCTTGCTCCTAGTAGCGACGCTCTTTGTTACTAGTAGCTTCTTGTTCCTAGGAACGCCAGGAGCGCCCCTAGTAGCGTCCTTGCTCCTAGTAGCGATGCCCTTTGTTACTAGTAGCTTCTTGTTCCT